ACTTGGTGTGATTTGGAGACTATAAATTCATATGTGTCCCCTGCCTTGAAGTTTATTGATCTAGTAGGGATATTGAGACCTAAACTAACAGAATACAAAACAGCATAAGAAACTGCATTGATGTATACATAAATACATTAATGTTCACAGAGCAAGGGATCATGGTTAGCTGACAGAGGTGGGGGAGGGAATTTGAACTAAATCTTAAACAATGGGGAGAATGTGGAAGAGGAGGGTATGGAGAAGGAGGAAGAAGAGTGGAAGAGAGCAGGAGGACAGAAAAAATATTTCAGGAATGGATCAGTTCAGTCTAATACCTTTGCTCAACAAATTCACAGGACATGCATGAGGAACCAGTGAACAGACTGGTTTGGCTGGCACATATTGTAGGACACATCAAGGGGAATAGTTTAAGGCAGAAAAAATAGACTCATTCATAGGAACATAGACTTAGAGCTGGAATGGGCCTAAGAGATCAATTAAAACAACACCCTGATTTTATAGTTGAAGAAAACGAAGCCCAGAAAGATGAGGCAATTTGCCCAAGGTCACACAGGTAGTAAGCAGCAAGCTAGATTCTGAACCTTGGTATCCTGTCTCCAAATCTAATAACCCTTTCCTTGTGCCACTTAGGTTTTTCTTTTTCTTTTTCTTTTTTAGGCAATTGGGGTTAAGTGACTTGCCCAGGGTCACACAGCTAGTAAGTGTCAAGTATTTGGTCTGAGGCCACATTTGAACTCAGGTCCTCCTGACTTCAGGGTCAGTGCTCTATCCACTGCGCCACCTAGCTGTCCCGCCGCTTAGGTTTTAAGCCAGATTTTGGATCCCTCACCTGAATACTTGTAAACATCTGTACCTCCTAACACAAGCTAAGGAAACTGGACTTCAGCAGGCAATGGTAAACAATCAAAGGTTTTTGAGCAGGGGAATGTGCCTTAGAAAAATTAATCATGCCAGCTATTGTTGTTAATAGTCAAGGGAAGAGGAAATGAAGGCTCAAACTAAAATGAGAGTAGTAAGTCTGGAGAGGGGGAGGAGACAGGTCTAAAAGATGGTGTGGAAGTCGAATGAGTAAGAGTTAGACACTGGCTGAATTTAGGACAGAGAAGACTGGGTAAAAACATTTCTAGACTTCAGGTACTTGGGGGAAAACTAGCATTTATATAATTACTTTAAAGGTAACAATGTACCCGGTACATGTTTACAATGTTACAGTATCTAACACATAGTAAGCTCTTAATAAATGTTTTATGTGATTTCCACACACCATATTTCAGACTCAAAACAACTGTTTGAGGTATTTAGCACAGGTATTATTATCCCCATTTTTTCAGCTGTTTTTCAGTCATGTCTGACTCTTCATGACCCCATATGGGGTCATCTTGGTACAGATACTGGAGGGGTTTGCCATTTTCTTCTCCAGCTTATTTTACAAATGAGGCACTGAGGCAAACAGGGTTAACTGACTTACCCAGGGTCACACAACTAGTAAGTGTTTGAGGCTGGATTGAACTCAGGAAAATGAGTCTTCTTGACTCCAAGCCCGACACTCTATGCATTGTGCCACCCAGCTACCCATTTTACATATGAGGAAACTGAGGCTTGGAGAGCTAAGGCAACTTGTCCTCCTCCCCCCAAGTCAATTATTAAACTCCTACTATGTACCAGGCACTGTGCTAAAGCACTAAGCACTGTTGTCACAAGGTTAAAAATCTTCCAGAGAGAGAGGTTATTACTTTTTCAGTCATAAACCTTTACCTCTTGAAACAGGCACATTATGGAAGAAGAACAGACAAGTCAAATTAAGGTATGAGTTTATTCACTGGCTTTATAATAGTCCAAAGTCCCTCCATTTATCAAGCTCTCACATTACAGAAAACATTAGGGCACATATCCTCCTTAACCCTCACCACCGCCATCCCCCCCCTCCACCTATACATGAAGGCTCTTTGCTTTTCTTTCTTAAAAAACACAGGAAATTCCACCTCAGTCCAGCTCAGGTTCCACTAATTCATTTTTCATACACAGCCTCTATATGTCTCTCCCCTATACAAAGGAAAGAGCATTAGATTAAAGTCAAAGGACCTGCATTCTCTACCAGTTCTGCTATTCACTATATGTGTGACTTTGGCCAAAGCATTTCCCTTCTCTGAGCCTGAGTTTCTTTCTGTAATTTAAGGGTGGTGAACCAGATTATTAATGCTGAAGCCCCTTCCAGTTCTAAATTCTAAGACCAACTCTTTCCAGTTTTAACTTACTAATACATGATTCAAAGCCTCCCATCCACTTATTTTGTTTCCTACCTTAAAAAAAAAATCCACCAAGAGGCAGTGTGACAATGAGAAAGAACACTGACTTAAGTCAGAAGTCCTGTGTTCTAGTCTTGATCCTGTTACTAACTAGCTGTGTGATCTTGATCAGTGTCCTCATATGTAATATGGAGTTGGAGCAGATGTAAGGTCTCTTCCAGGTGACGTGTGTATCTTGTTTGGAAGGGTTCTTTATCAATTCCCATACATCCTTAGGGAGGGTCTAACCTGAGGTATAGACATAAAGAACATCCCTTAATTACTGCCCAAACACTTTCCACCTTCTCTTGGGGAGTAGAATAGACAACTCACTGCTAACTGATGAGGCTTACTTGGATAGGGTTTCTTCCACACACCTAGGCCAGCTGAAGATACTCAGTATAACACTGTCTAAATCAGATGGTAAGAGACAAGTCTGCTGAGTATATGGATTTAATATAAGCAATATTACTAGCTCTTAGCTTGTCCACAAAAACCGACTGTGTAACATGAAAAGCATGTCCAAACAATCCTTAAGCTCAGTAGAATTTCACTGTGTTAAATGTAACATTAAACCTTTGGATTCGGTCTATATATATCAACATGTGTATACTGCAGTAGACCATTTAAGACTAGTCAAGAGAAACATTTTTTCCCTCAGGAAAAGCCACACCAAATCTTTTCACTATGAGCTAAAAAAGCAGACATTTGTAAACCCTATTTTGTATATTTCAGTTCTTAATTCCACTATCAAAATCATTATCCCCATATCTTCCATCTTTTAAATGTAATAGCAATCTAGCAATTCTGTACTAAATAGAGGACACAGTAAATTATTAACTACTTTCAATTTTACACTTAGGAAATTCTTTTTGACATTTTAATATTATCTCTCTTGTTGACAACTATTAGTAGTCATACCAACGAATACATTACATGTTAACATTTATTAGATGCTCACAAGGAGGTAACATTACATGATTCTCAAACTTTCTTTGAACAACACTGAGTTGTAGGATGAGTAAAGAGAGGCTGTGGAAGCATACAAATTAAGAAGCATTCAGACGTCATGTTAAATATAAGATCCTCACAGAGCAAGCTAACGAACAGTAATAGCACATCAGTGATTCACACCTAAAGGATCCCACAAAGGTATAAGAAAAGGGGGTGGGGAGTATAGGAGGGTGTCTGTGTTAAGCAAAAACAAACAAACATGGAAATATTGATAAACTCAGAATCACCAAGAAATCTGTTAACTTCAAAATGATCTTCACAAGTTAAAGAATGCACATTGTGATGTTATAAAACATTACAGTCTCTCGCATTTTTAGTTCTGTATAGCTTACAAGGTACTTTCCTCACAATAACTGTGTGGTATAGGTAATTATCCCCATTTTACAGAAGTGGAAACTGAGACTTATTGAGGTGAAATAACTTGCTTCCTAGCTACAGAACAAGTATGAGTTGGAGAACTTGCTCATAGAATTTGCATGAGTGGAAGAAAAAATTGGAACCCAGGTCTTCTCATTCCAAATTCAGTGCTCTATTTCACCACTCATTGTTTCATAATACTATGAAGTTGATAAACACATCCTTAAGTAGTTCTAAACAAAAAAGGAAGGAAAACTACCTATAGTACAAAAACTGCCAGGCAATATCTATCAGAAACCGGAAAAGACCCAGTAGGAAGCAAAATATACCTAAAGTGAGAATTTCTTTTAAAGTACAAAGGCAAAAGTAGAAATTAGTGCAGGTTAGGGACTACTAAAACAAAATGATGTCTATGTAGTCAGAAGTGGTCTCAAGCCTCTGTATCTATTGCATAAACTTTTTGCTTGTTTTTCTTTATCTGAAGGGATGACTGCGTGTGTGTGTTGTAGAAAATGACTGCTGCAAAGACAAAAGGCATCAATAAAATCTATTTTTAAAAGCGTCCGGAGACATTCGTCCTTCCTCAGATTACCTAAATCGGAAAGTTACTAAAGGTCAGCGTTGGGCACGGTGAAAGTGAAGCCGCATCAGCCCAGCTCACAACCGAGAGAGAGACACCAAACCAAGTTCGCTTTTACCTCGCCCACTCTCCGGGAGAGCCCTTTCCCGCACCCCCGGTGCTCAGCCCTCGGCCTGGCCCTGGGGCACGGCTCGCTGCGACTTGACTGAACCATCCCGGCCCTAAGGCTGAGCACGGTCTCTTACGCCTCGGTTTACCTAACTTTCTCCACGGCTAACCCTTCCTCCAGCCGCCTCACTGACCCACTGCCCGGCACCGCCCTGCAGGAGCACCGAAGTCGAGACCAACAGAACGAGGTCTCGGCGGGCAGGGCTTCGCACGCCACGCTCCCAAAGGTGACTTCCAGCCAGACCCCACCTGGCCCGGGCCCTCCTGCCCTCACGATCCCCGGGGAGGGGGCAAGAAGGCAAGTCCTGTGTGAGAAGCCCTGGGCTCCATCTCCCCCGCCCGCTGCCCCCAGCTCGCCCTCCACCGCCCCGGGGCACCGACAGTTCCCGCCCCCCTCGTCCTCGCCGGGCCCTGCACCAAGGGCCGGGATCCTCCCGCCGCCCAGCCCCAGACGACGTCCGCGGGCAGGCCGCGCTCCCAGCCCGGAGCCCCGCTCCGGCCGCGGCCGGGGGCAGGCCAGTCCGTCCGTCTAGGGGCGGCGGGCAGCCGCGCGTCCCCGGCCCGGCCCGGCGAGGCGCCGCCCTTGGGGTTACCTGCGCCGAGGAGCCCGGCCCGCATCGCTGGGCTGGGGCGGGGAGGGGAGGGCCACCGCCGCCGATCAGCCTTCCGCCTCAGGGGGCCGGCTCCATGGGGCCCGTGGCGGCCCAGGGCCTCTGTCCGTCAGGCCGCTGGAGACAGAGAGAGAAGGAGGGAAGGGAGCGACCCGAGAGGGCGAAGAAGGCTGGAGGGTCGGTCCCGAGGGCCGGCCGGCGGGCGGGCGACAGGTTTTAGCTCCCGCAACTTCCGTCTGCGACTGCCGGGGGCGGCGGCGTCAAATAGCTCACCGCGAAAACCTCGCCACTGTGCATGCGCTGTGCATCCCAGACCTCCCCGCGAAAAAAGTCTCCCCTCCGCCCCTTCCTGGGGATAGGGCCGAGTTACAGGAACGGGGCGGGGAGGGGGAGGGAGAAGGAGGAAGCGAAGGGGAGGAAGGTGGAGAAGGGAATGACTTAGGAAGGCGGAGGGAGAATGAGAGGGAGGCGGGAAATGATCGGGGAAAGGGGTGGGTCTCCTGATAAGACCCCACAGTTGTAGGCTGAGAGGAAGGTAGGACCAGTCTAAATTTCAAAATAGCAATAATAAATTACTTTTATAATTTGTGTTATATTAATTTTTATGCATATGAACATAATAGAAATAGATTTAGATTATTAATAAGCATATATTCTATTTGAAACTAGGTGGATAGAACTCTGGGCCTGAAGTCAGGAAGACCCAAATTCAAATTTGCCCTCAGACACTTACCAGCAGTGTGACCCTGGGCAAGTCACTTAACCTTGTTTGCCTCAATTTCCTCATCTGTAAAATGAGCTGGAGAAGGGAATGACAAACAACTCCAGTATCTAAAAAAATCCCAAAAGGGGCCATGAAGAGTCCAACACAATTGAAATGACTGAACAAAAATATTTACATTATTTGCACATAGTATTTCCCAAGCATATGAAGGCTTCCCCTGGTAGAATAGGTGGATGAGAACAATTTGTTCCAATGGCCATGGAGGCAGCTTAAACAGGCATTGTGGAGGGCATAGTGCTTGGTCAGACATCAAAAATGCCAAGGTCATCTACTACTACTGGGACATCCATAGGCATCTTGACTTCTGTCTTGTCACTGGACTTTGATAACTGTGGACAACAGAGTGAGACTGACAACTTTTTGCAACTCTGCCACACTTAAATCCAATTCACATTGGCATCAAGACATTACCCTGTGATATCATTGGTCCTCTTAGAAAATGAAGAACGAACAACAATAATAATACATAAGTAAAAATTTAAAAAGAGCAATTTCAGGGCCACGGTTGAATGAGGATGACTTTACCTATGAATGTGATATTTGAGCATGGGACTCCCCAGCCAAAAAATGTTTCCCTGTCCAGATGCTCAAAGTGCCATAATATTCAATCAAGGGGTCCTTCCTTTGAAATGTAGATACCCCAGGAAGAAATAAAATAGGGTCACCCAAAGGAAAGAGTTTATAAGGTCTTGGAAAAGCATCTTATGGACAGGAGGAGTCCAATAAAGAAAAATGCCCATGAGGCACCCAGCACTAGCAATTTTGAGAAACAAGAATGCCTCTAAAGAGAATTCCAGGCATGGGGAGACAGCCAGTGAAAATGCATTGTAGAGTTGGAGTGACTTGATCATTTTTTTTTAAGACAATTGGGGTTAAGTGACTTGCCCAGGGTCACATAGCTAGTAAGTGTCAAGTGCTTGGTCTGAGGTCAGATTTGAACTCAGGTCCTCCTGACTTCAGGGTCAGTGTTCTACCCACTGCGCCACCTAACTGCCCCTTGATCATGTTTATTGATAACTTTCATCTTTACACCATATTTGTTTCTCAATATATCCCATTTCCCACCAAGTGAGCTCTCTTGTAACATTCTTTAAAAAAAAATTCAGCAAAACCATCTCATCCACAACAACATTCCATACCAATTGTCCCCTACCTCTAGGGAAAAGAGAGGTGCATTTTTTCATCTCCTCTTTTAGCCATTATAATTGTTTTAATGTTCTTTGTGTCTGTATACATTATGTTTTAATTGTGAGTGTTGTTTTCCTTGGCTTTGTTGACTTTACTTTGCATCAGTTAATTTAAACCTTCTCACATTTCCCTCAATCAGTCAATAAACATTTATTAAGTGCCTGCAGTGTTCCAGTCTTTCTGCTAAACCCTGGGGATACAAAGAAAGCCAAAAGACAGTCCCTGTTCTCCTGGAGCTCATAGTCTAATGCAAACAGCTATGTATTCATGTTTGTTGTTTTGGAGGGCACAATAATATTCCATTATAATAATATATCACAATGTGTTTAGTCACCGCCCCTGTCAATGAACACACCCTTCATGTCCTGTGCTTTGCTACCACAAAAAAAACATTGAAAGTCATTTCTTTTTTTATCTCATATTTGCCTTTGATGGGACAGCTTCTTCAGTAGGCTCATTTCAGGTCAAGGGATGACTGAGCTAAATCTAGAGAATTGGTATTGGAGATACACTTTGCTTACTTTTGGTTTGCTTCAGTCAGGGATTATTAATTCTGGGTTTTTAGTTTGATAATTGTATTTTAACATAATTCATTTCCTGTGTAATTCTAGATATTTATGAACATTATTTGAGAAGGGGGTCATGATAAGAACCCCTGTCCTAAGTTTAGGCCAACTTAGCCCTCTTAACTTTCTCTTTCTTTAATAGTTTTGAGTATATCAATCAACCAATCAACAAACAATTCCAGGCTCTGTGCTAGGAACTGGGGATGCAAAGACAAAAGAATAGAATTCTGCTGTGGTTTTTGGTCTCAGTTTACTCAGACCCACCTTGTTCTGCTACTGCAGGATGGTGTAACTCTAACTCCACAACCACTAGCTGCCTTCTGCAACCAATTTTCACTTAGTGGGGGAAAGAATAGATCCATAGTTCCAGTGTTAAGGACTAGTTAAGCTCCATTGTGTTAATGCAGTCAATCAAAAAACTTCTATTAAGTTTCTGCTCTGAAAAAAAAAATAAAATTAAAAATTAAAAAAACTCCTACTCTGTGCCAGATGCTGTGCTAAGTCTTGGGGTAGAGTGACAATCAGTTTATTGCTTTGACATGACTCCATGTTTTTGAAGCCACCATTTTATGACAGAGTAGTTGTTATATGGGAGGCAGTTAAGTGACTCAATGGCTAGAACCTGAAGCCTGGCTCTGGCTGGGCCTAGAAAGATTTGAGTTCAAATCTGGCCTGAGACACTTATTAGCTGTGTGATCCTGGGCAAGTTATTTAACCTCTGTTTGCCTTCATCTACTGGAGAAGGAAATGGCAAACCATTCCGGTACCTTTGCCAAGAAAATCTCATGGACAGTATAGTCCACAGGGTCACAAAGAGTGGGACATGACTAAACAACAAAGTTGTTATGTAAGTTGTTTTCCTGTAATAATGATTTGAGTGGTATAGTTTGGAAATGATATGTTCCCTCCACACTTAGTAAACAATTCCTAATAAAGTATGTTCCCCAGATTTGGTAAACAACTGCTAATGACAAGTCTCTTCCAAATTTAGCAAACAATGAATAAACACTTGCTAATGACATTTGTTTTTATTGATAGTTTCCTTTTATCATAAGCTTAGGTAATCAATCACTAATCAGAACTTGGGTGTAACCAGCTAAGGCCTATAGCTAGAACTATAAGACACCCATCTGGAGATCAACTCCTTCCACCACCAAACCCTCCATCCCAGTCTTCAGCATGATCTTAGGTCTCAACTGAGGGTTATGTCTGTGTGTCCCCTCCCCTCCCCTTGAGTCTCAAGTTCCCCAAAAATTGAGATTCAAGTATCCCCATGTTCACCTGAGGGCAAGGCTAACTGACTGACTTGTCAGGTGATGTCCTTAGAGGGAGATACATGGCCTCTTGCTTGGAAGAGAGGGATCCTTGTCACTGAGTTCCACTATAAGACAGGCTTACTGGGAGGCCCTGGGAAGTCAGGTTGATGGTTTGTTCCTAGTGGGGTTAATTTTTGTATTGTCCAAAGTTTGCATGCATTTGATTAATAAAGTTTGACTGCTAGAATAGAGAAATGTAAGTTTAATTAGTGTTTCACACTAGTTAGCACAAATAACAGTAAGTTGATTTTGCAAGTGCTTTATAGGAAGATACAAAGAAAGGCCAAAAAACCCCCCAAAAAGCTAACAGTCCTATTTTCAAGGAGCTCATAGCCATATGGGGGAGACAATATGTAAACAATTATATAAAACAAGATTTATACACAATAAATTGGAGATAATCAACAGAAGTAAGTCATTAGCTTTGAGGGTTATTCTTGTAGAAGGTGGGATTTTAGCAGGACTCGTAGGAACCTCCAGCAAAGCTAGAAGAAGATGAGGAGAGAGAGAATTATAGGTATAGGGAGACAGCTAGTGAAAATGCATGTAGAGTTTGAGATAGAATGACTAGTTAGAGATACAGCAGGGAGGACAGTTTCACTGAATAGAAAAGTATATCTGAGGGAGTAAAATATAAGAAGACTAGAAAGGGAGGAAGCAGCCAGCTTATGAAGGTCACTGAATGCCAAAGAAAGGATTTTACATTTGTTCTTATAGGTGATAAGGAGCCATAAGAATTAACCAGGGAGTGACATGGCCACACCTGAGCTTTAGAAGGATCACTCTTTTAGCTGAATGGAGGACAGATTGGAGTGAGGAAAGACTTGTGGCAGGCAAACCAACTCAACAGGCTATTGTAATAGTCCAGATATGAGATTATGAGGACCTTCATCAGCATGATGGCAGAGTCAGAGAAGAAAAGGGGAGTACTGTTACTTGAAGATAGAATTGAGAGGACTTGGCAACTGATTGGATTTGGGAGGATGAAAAAAAAGTGAGAAGGTGAGGATATAAGTCAGGGTGACTGGGAGGATAGTGATGCCTCTGACAATAGTGGGAAAGTTAGGAAGAGGGAAAGGCTTGGGGAAAAGATGATGAGATCAGTTTTGGACATGTTGGTTTTAAGATGTCTATGGGACATACAGTTGGAGATATCTAATAGGCAGTTGAAGATTTGAGTCTG